CCAGCATGAGTTACATATAGAGTTCCATATCAGTGTGGGTTACACAGCAAGTCTGAAAAAAAAAAAGAAAGAAAAAGAAAAAAAGCTAGGTACTAGTGGCTCATACCTATAATCCTAGCTATTCAGGAGGCTGAGATCTGAGGATCGAGGTTCAAAGTCAGCCCGGGCAGGAAAGTATGTAAGACTTTTTTTTTTTTTTTGTCAACCATTGGGCTTGAACTCTGGGCCTGGGCACTGTCCCTTGAACTCTGGGCCTGGGCGCTGTCCCTCAGCTCTTCAGCTCAAGGCACCACAGCACCACTTCCAGTTTTCTGGTGGTCTAATGGAGATTAGAGTTTCTTGGCCTATCCTGCCTGGACTGGCTTTGAACCAGTATCCTCAGATCTCAGCCTCCTGAGTAGCCAGGATGACAGGTGTGAGTCACTGGTGCCCAGCTATGAGTCTCTTATCTCCAATTAACCACCAGAAAACCAGAAATGATGCCATGGCTCAAAGTGGTAGAGCACTAACCTTGAACTGAAGCGCTTATAGACAGAGCCCAGGACCAAATAAGTAGGTAGGTAGATAGATAGATAGATAGATAGGGCTATAAGGTTGGGGATTCAGTTTAGCCAGTGGAATGATTGCCTAACATTCTTGAGGCCCAGAGTTCAATCACCAACACATGGGGAGAAGGAACACATTCCCTCTTCTTTTCTGCCAGTTAGAAAAACTCAAGCCTTTCTCTCCTTGCATCCCAGGGACCCCCTTTTTATTCCATGTCTCTCAAGTTCTCACGAGCATCTGGTTTATTCCATCTCTCATCCTCTTCATATAGCCTCCTGCCCCTTCCACCCAACAGTAGGTTCAGCCCTAACTTCTACGAAACTTACTTGCCTTGGACCTTTTTTCTCTCCATTTTAGTGCTGACCACTGACCTTGTTCAGGTTTACTGTCTCCTCACTGAACCACAGCAAAGACCAATTAGCCTCTAATCTAGTTCAGTCTTCCTTCCCACTCACATTAGAGACTCAGTTCTTTTTCTTTTTTTCGTTGCGTGTACGTATGCTAGTACTGGGACAAAAAAAAAAGCAAGTGTGCGGCCCTGGGTTCAAGCCTCAGTTCCAGCACACATACATACACACAAAAAAATCTGGGAGTGGCAGCATGGTTCAAGTGATGAGCAGTAGGCCCTGAAATAAAACCCCAAGACTGGGCGGGGAAGGTGGCTCAGTGGTAAAGCACTTGCCTTGCATGCATGAGGCCCTGGGTTCGATTCCTCAGCACCACATAAGCAAAAAAGAAAAAAGCCAGAAGTGGCGCTGTGGCTCAAGTGGTAGAGCGCTAGCCTTGAGCTGAAGAGCTGAGGGACAGCGCCCAGGCCCAGAGTTCAGGCCCCATGACTTGACCCAAAAAAAAAAACAAAAAACCAAGACCGGGGGATGGGAGACAGCTAAAAAACAAAACAAACAACAACAAAAGAAAAACACTGACTCTGCCACATAAACCTGGGCAGTTTCCTCGGCCAGTATAAAGGTTTATCATAAACATCAGAACGGTTACACATAGGAAGGAAGGCCTTCAACTGTCAAAGACCTAGGGAGCAGGAAAACCTGTAACTATTGGGAAGTAAAAAATAGAAACCAGGCACAGATAGTTCATGCCTGTAATCCTAGCTACTCAGGAGGCTGAGATCCAGAAGATCAGGGTTCAAAGCCAGCCTGGGGAAGCAAAGTCCTTGACAGTCCAAACTGACCAGCAGAAATCAGGGCTGAAGGCATAGCTGAAGCAGTAGAGTACCAGTTGAGTATGCCAACCAAGTACAAGGTTAAGATATCTTCTAAACCAAGAGGAAATAAAATATACTAGGTTCAAGTAGGATATAAAAGTTGAACATTGGTGGCTCATGCCTGGCATCTGAGGATCACAGTTTTGAGGCCTGGGCAGGAGAGTCTGTGGTACTCTTTTTTTGTCGGTCGTGGGACTTGAACTCTGGGCTTGGGCACTGTCCTTGCACTCTTCAACTCAAGGCGAGCGCTGTACCACGTGAGCCACAGTTCCACTTCTGGTTTTCTAGTAGTTTATTGGAGATAAGATGTCTCACGGACTCTCCTGCCTGAGCTGGCCTTGAACTATGATACTCAGATCTCAGCCTCCTGAGTAGCTAGGATTACAGGTGTGAGCCACCAGTGCCCAGCTCTGTAGTACTCTTATCCCAAATCAACCACCAAAAATCCAGAAGTGGGGCTGTGGCTCAAGTGATAATAGTGCCAGTGTTAAGCAAAAAACACCAAGGCCCTAAGTTCAAGCCCCATACCAACACACATACACACAAAAGGAGGAGGTTAAGCTTTGATTTATTTGAGACAGATTCTTACTTTGTGGCTCAAGCTGATCTAGAACTCCTGATTCTTTCGCCACAGCCTCTGAAGTACTGAGATTACAGGCATGAGGCTACCCCACATGCCTCATGAGGCTAGGAGGTAAGTTGTTTAACAAATGCCAAAGGCTTTACTTTTGTAAGCATCAACTCTAGTCAAGTAGCTCCCAAATTCCCTCCAAACCCACCTTCCTCAATGCTCAACATACACCAGCATATCTGTGGGTCACAATATCCAGCAATTCAAAGAGATAATTTGGGGTTTTATATTTTGGCAGTAGAAATCAAATCCAGAACCGGACACTACTCAAGAGGCTGAAATCTGAGGATCGTGGTGAGTCAAAGTCAGCCTGGGCAGGAAAGTCTGTGAGACTTTTATCTCCAATTAACCAGTTAAAATCCAGAACTGGAACTGGAGCTGTGACTCAAGTGGTAGAGCACTAGCTTTGAGCAAAAAACTCAGGGACGGTGCCCAGGCCTTGAATTCAAGCCCCAGAATTGGCAGCAAAAAAAAAAAAAAGCTCTATCACAGAAATGTATAACCCAAGACATGGTTCAAATCCTTGGTCATGAGCTTAAGGCTTCTCACCCACACATTCCTGAACTCCCTCCCCCATCAAGGCTTAACATTCCCTTAGCAATACCTTGTCAGTCTTCCTTCTCAAAAGACTCCTCCTTCCTCCTCATCTCTCAGATGGCTGACTTTATTACCAGAGGTCCTGACCCCATTCCTCCCCCTGTTACTCTCTAGCCGTGGACAGTATCCTTCTAAACACAGGTCTGGGATATGCCACTGGCTGATTAAAAAGCATTCCCATGTTCCATTACCTTGACTTAGTTGGAACTCCTTAATATAAGGAAGGCGTAGATCTCTCACCTGTCAAGTTGGAAGACTCCCAGGCACTATTTTAGACACTAATGTACATATAGTTCCCTGTATCCAAGTCTCGATGTCCCCCAGATAATTCCTGTAGGCCCTGAAGGCCACAGTTCAGGAATTCCCTCTCCCAGGCTATGAGGTAAGCACATTTTTGTGAGCAGCAGCTATTAATCACGTGTTCTCGGATTCCCACTGTCCCCCAAAATGAGTTCCTTCAAGGCAAAGCCAGATCCTTTTATGTGAGTCCGTAGGATCTACCACAGAATTTGGCAAGTAATAAAGCCAAATACTTGCCAAATGAATATATTTTGCCAAATCAGTTTTTTAGAACAGTGAGGATGTGTCTTCTGCCTCTTTCAGGAGAGGTACATTATCAACACATGCTTTCATGGCTCAACCAGGTGTTTGTCTGCATAGCAATCCTCATTCCTACCTTTACACAATTACCCACAGGCCTTGAACTGTCTCAAGCTACCCTAACTCTCCACTGAATTCTTGAGTTCTGATTTCTCCAAGAAATAGCTCCTGAGCTTCCTTTCGGCATGCAAGCCATGAGTTCTTCTCCCTTGGCTGAATTCAGGACAAAAAAGTTCAGTTCTCCATCTATTCGCACTATAGGATTATATGCCTTTAAATGTGTTATGGAACAATTCTTTTTTAGAACAACACTCCAGAATATGGTGTCTCTCTGCAAACACTTAGCATAGCACAACTGGTAAAATTACAACACCCCGTCTTTACACCAGACTTCCCAAAACACCTGGAAACACATCCAACTCTTTATCCGGTCTTAGGGTCTGATAAACAGCACCCTCACCTACAGGAATCTGGCTCCCATGCCAAGGAACGACTTCAACTGGCTTATTTAGGGAAACAGCAGGCGGGACTCTTAAGTTAGAACTATGCTTAAGGCTATAAAGGTTCTGTCCCAGACCAGTCACCATTTCATCACCGCCATTAAAATGAACCCTGAATAATTTCAATCTACACAGGCTAAGAGCGTCTCGGGGTTTAAAAGGGGCATTGGAAATTGCCAGTCGGAAGTTAACTTGAAATGTATGGCCAAAAAAAAAAAAGAAAAAGACTTGAGGGGCCTCTGGAGATATATATACTCTGGAGTGAAACCGGCCTTCCAAATACAAAGTTAAAAAAAAAAAAGCGGGGGGGAGAAGTAAGCTTCCTAAGCAGCCCAACTGGGCAGGGGGTACCCCAACCCCAAGATTCTTAGCAGATCGGACCCACAGGCGCGGGGGGAACACCCTTCCCACTAGGGCTCCAGGCCCCATAGGTTGCGATATTGGGCCACGACCCCCCCACACACACACACCACACACACACACACACACACACCCCAATGGAGACCCGGTGGCGGCCCACAAGGCCGCACACGCCCACGGCGGACGTGCAGGCCCCGCGATCCCGGGGTGGGGGGAGCGCTGGGCCCCCCCCCCCAGGGGTTAAGGCCTGGCCCAGCCTCAGCTGCCTGCACGAAGCCCCGGGGCCTCGCATCGGAAAACGCTTCGAGAGCCTTCGCCCAGAGGGGACTGGAGAGCAAGAGGGGCGGCTCCACCCGGGCGGTACCGCCTCCTCACCGACAAGGACGTCCGTGGTCGTGTCCCCGCCCCGGGGTGGAGGGGAGGGGTCCCCCCGAAAGCGAGCAGCAGCAGCAGGTGTTCCGCGGAAGGCTCGGCCCAGCGGCAGCAGGAATGGGGGGGCCCCAGCAGTCAGACACGGCGAAGGGGGGGGGGGCGGCGCACTCACCGAGCGCCTTTCCTCAGGCGGGCAGGCCGCGGCAGGTGTTCGCTCCTCCCGGGCCCCTCAGGACGCAGCCCGTCGCCGCTCCCCCGGGACTCGGCGCGAAGCTGCTGCCCGGCT